GAGTAGAAAATGAAGGCTAATCCTGTTTTGGGTGTACTATTCCTTTAAGGCTCAAAAAGGAAAATCAAATCACTATCAGTATGGAAGTTTGAATTATATGTCCAAATTATACCTTATTAATACCTTATTTTATCATAAATAATCAACTGGATTGTGGTCTTTTCTGTTGAGCCAAATAATATGATTATGTATCTATAAAACAGGTATGTCTAAAGTCAATTCTTGAGGAGTGTTTTCGTTCACGTTTTGAATGTTTCTCAGCTTGTTATGTTTACATAAGACCGTTCTACGTGCCCGTCCTGTTAGCTATCCTTATAGCATGTGCAATTTCAAGTGTGTATATATATATATATATATATATATATATATATATATATATATATATATATGGAGCTACGGTTTCAGACAGTCATTGAACTTCACTTTTCTCACCTCAGTTTTCTAAAAATGGCTGAGGGTCATAAAAGAAAAAGTGTCTACAAAGTGTATGAGAAGAAAAGAAAGGCGTCAGAAGAGGCAGATATATGCCAGAATGCTTTGCGCGGAGAGCTCTCCGTGCAAAGCATTATGGGATTTGGCTGTCCCATACCACTGTCGCAATAAGCTGTTGCTACCCGACGGCAACTAATAACAAAGATCGTGCAGGTACGGCGCAGTGGACCAACGGGGAAGTGATCGTCTGTTGGAACGGTAAGTTGACTAAGTTCAGTAAAGTCCACTATATAGCAATTGCTCTATATAGTGATTGAGGGATTTAGGGGTTAGAGTGGACGTTCTGACTCAATAAGCTTGAATGAGCTATGATAACAGCAATTTTTAAACAGAGTGTGCACTAGGAGAAATGGGCTCATGCACGCTCGTGCATGCATGTTTTTCTTTTTTAAAGTGGAGAATGTGGGTCTTTTAAAAAAATCGGGAAAAACCTCCACAATACTTTTAAAGTTCAGCAAAAGCCTCTTAATCAGCCATCAGTGAAAATCAGCTGTGCTAAAACAGGAAAACCTATAAAAGCCGCAAGACAGCTGCAGTCCTGTCAGACGTACGATATTTATCATATTTGTACGACAATTTTGCCCTCCGTACGATGTACGTTCAATAAACCCAAAAAAGGCCACATGTATGATAATGAATTTGTGGTAATTGGTTGCCATCAGCTTTCTTGGACAAACAGAACGGGGAGAAGGAGGAACGTTTAAGAAGGTGGCAGGGCAGGACCAAAGTAAGCAGCTCCGCCCAAAGACTTATCAAAAAGAGGGGAGAGTCTATTTGTATGGCTGTGACCTGTTGCTGGTTCAAAGAGCAAAGCTTTCTGCAACACAGAGGTGTTAGCTGAAGCAAAAAATATATAAAAAACACACATGGACAAGGGAAGAATCTACCAGAGGTGTCAAGTAACACGGTACCAATACTTCATTCCCTTAAGTAAAAATGTTATACTTTACTGGACTAATTATTTTTAGACAACTTTTTACTTCTATTCCTAACATTTTTTTACAGTTATCTCTACTTTGTACTCCTCACATTTAAAAAATATCCTCAATATTTTTGTTTCATTTAATCTCATTGTTGTTATGTTGGTATTTAAAAAAGATAAAAACCATCAAAATGTTTGTTTTTCATCCAGACAATTCATTTCTTTGTGGTTGGACTCTTTTGTTCTCTTTTGTTGTTTACCAAAGTTTTTCAAGATGATGCAAAGTTAATTTGACACTGTTACCATTAGCTATAAAACTAGGATAATTAAGTCTAAGGAAATTATCCAGAATGGTAAAAAATAATCCTTTTATAGGGTAGTGCAGTGAAGCTTCTGTCCCTAACATTTTTTTCTGCATGACTTTTACTTTTATACTTTAATTAGCCTTAAAATGGTAATTTTATACTTTTACTTGAGTAAAAGGCTTAAGTTGACACTCTAGCTTAGTGTTTTTAAACATTAGGGTTTATACTACTGTTGCACCGATGCCAGTTTTTGGCATACCAATAACCGATACCTGGCTGTGCAGAATTGGCCAATACCATACCGATAACATCTGTTTGAAATTGAAGTGTGTGTGTGTGTGAGTTTGTGTGTATATATGAAGAACTGCATACTACTTGGATGTAAAATAATTTCCATCATGGCTTTGTCATGCTATTGCCTACCTTTGTGACGCAGGAAAAAGACTAATAAATAGTAAATCCAGTACAACTTTTTATTGCCTACCTGGAATGGGTGACAATAGTTGAATAAAATTTTGGCTCTAAAATGGTATCGTTGCCCTATTTGCTGGTACTCACCGATATCACCATTTTAGTGCTGGATCGGGGCCCCGTCCAATACTGGTATCGGTGCAACACTAATTTATACTTCTACTTGAGTAATAAACATTATTAATTTAAAGTAATTTCCCTCTGGGATTATTAAACTATTTCTGATTCTGATTCTAATTTAGACACCTCTGCATTCTACTCATGCAGTATGGCTGCTTTATTTAATTCTTTCAACCTGTTAAAGATAAGATACCCCTAATGTCTCATGTCCACATATATATATTTACATCAGTATATATATTTGAAGGTTTCATACTAACAAACATTGTAGAAGGATTTTTTATTGGACGCACATTACCCTAACGCAACAGGGGGGCTATTGATGAATCCATTTAGTACTAATGCCACAAAGCTATGAGTGCCTGTTAGACACTACTCAACACCATAGTGATGACTGTATATCGATAAACTTATTTTGGTTATGGCAATTGTACGGTAATCTCCCTCAAGATATGGTAATTTTACGTCTCTGGTAGGATAATCCTACTTTTCTCACCTGGGAACACTGGACAGTGGCCCTCAGAGACAGCTTTGGACAAGCCTGATTTAAAGGACACTATATTTAACCTTTGCATATTTTACCCTAAAAAAAAATTACAATCAAATTAAAAAGGGTCTGTGGTCTATTTTGCAGTAGGACCCATTACTTGGTAATGGTTTAAATTAGAGATAATGCTCATGATTCAATCGTGGAACAAAAATGGGCATAAATGCAACCCTTTCTGCAGCTTGGGGGCCAAAACCTGTTGCACATTGACGAGACGCATCTGTGGGGATAATATCACATTATGGAGGTGAAAGGAATTTGTTTTTAAACTGACTGGCATAAAACTAACATCACAAAAATGTTAACGCACGACATTTGGTCAGAAAAGGTAGTTGCTTCTTCAGACCTGGACAGGTTATTACCATTCATAGAAACGCATCTTCTGCCCTGTTAAGAAACTCCTAACCTATAGGTAAATGTTTGGCCAAAGGTTGCCGGTCTTTCGCTCAGGTTCATTCTTCTTGCACTGATGACCCTGACGCGAGAGGAAAAAAGCAACTCCATCTCAAAAGTCAAAAAGACAATTCAGCTTTGGGGAATCCTAGTAAGATGCAGCTATAAATCAGTTTGAGATGATGTGGCATGATCTCAGAGATGCAGCTGATACCTTAAAATTCAACTCAAATTTTGATTTTCTGAACCTATAAAATTGTGGCTGATACTGCATGTAGTGACATCAGTTTTACTGTTGTTAAGCTCCAAAAATAGAAATAGAACAAAACCAGAATCAAGTAGCATTAGCATACTTGTTAAACTTCCTCTCACTTTGTTCTTTCACAAATATTCTTCCATATAACCTTTTATAATAATTCAGTACATTATTTGTTAACTTGAAATACTCATTGCATTGATTTCAGGCTGACTCTGAAATTATTTCCTGGAAGAAAAATAAGACAGTGATCGTTTTTGACTTTATGTTCTGCTTGAAGAGATTTGGCTTTAGATCGAGAACTAAAGGCTGCATGATTTTATTGGACTACCTGCTGTTGTTTTTGAGCACTAATCCTTTGATTCTGATCTGTCCTTTCATTTCTTCCTCTATTAGATTGCCCCCTTTGCTGCATGCATGCTATCATTTTTCATTGCAGAATCAATGACATGTGAGATATGGAATACGGCATATAAAGTGCTGGCTTTTTAAAAAGCTAAGCATGTAAACATTCTCTCCATCAAGCACACAGAAAACAATAAAAATGTAGGGTTCCCAAACCATCAAACATCCCCTCTGATTTCATAGAAGAAAGAAAGGCACCCATCCAGGAATCTTTTTCAATTCAAAAGGTCTGAATTAGCATTGAGTTCGAAGCTTTATAGAGTTGCACAAAAAAACTTGTTTTAGAAAACATGCAAATTGAACAAAAAAGAATGGGTCTGGCACCTTGGAATGGAGAGTTGTTTGGGCTATTTGATAACCTGCAATATTTGATACTGGTCTGTGCCGCTAAAAAGGAGGTCATTAGGGTCATTGTTGGCCTGGCTGCCCAGGCTAAATGTTTTAGTCCACTGCCTGGGGGTGGGGTTTGGGATGATAGTGGGAAGAACTCTACTCTATTTCTGTGTTGTAGGGTTTTGAGAGCTGAAACCTGAGTCCAACCCCTCTGTTTAAGGTGGTTTTTTCTCTCTTAACATAAATGGCTTCCTTCACACCCCTTTCAAACCACCTGTCTTCTTTGTCCAAAATGTGAACATGCCAGTCCTCAAAAAAATGTCCTTTAATCATAAGGTGCAGATGTACCGCCCAGTCTTGTCCATAGGAGGTAGCTTATATTTGTTGGGCCATGGGTCTGTGTGAGAGGTTGTTTGGTTTCTCCACTATAAAGATCAGAGAATTCCTCACTGCATCAAACTGCTTACACCATGCAATGACACAATGCAGTAAACAGACAATTGATTTACTTCAATTATAAAAGTGTTATAAATTGGTAACATGTGTAAAGGTTAATTTCATAACACCACTTAACTGTAATGTGATGAAGATTAACAATGTATAGAATTAAGTTATCTAGATGGCACTATTCTCTGCCCCTAAAGAGATATAAGCAGTTCAATGCATTGAGTAGTTTGGCATGCAGCAATCCCTACCACTTGACTACCATGTTAACACGTACCCCATGTGGTAGGTGTAAACAATATTATGCAGCAATTCTTCCCGCTGAACTACCATCAGGAAGACCTTAACAGCTGATTGCACCATGTCATTTACATTGCAGCAATCCCTCCCACTAGTCTAGCATGTTGCCGACATAAATAGTTGATTAAATCAGGCCATTTATTTTTCAATATTGATGGAGGTAAACAGTTGCTTGCAATGCATTTGCTTAAGGGAAGTCTATGTGCCGGAACTAACATATGATGGACAAAAACAGGTAATTGCATTGGGTCATTCATTTATACTGTAGTATCCCCCCTCATCTGTGGACATTTTTACGTTTCTTTTGAAAGCATTTTTTTCTTTTCTTTTCAGGTCAGTAAAACTCATTGAGGTGGATGGTTTTAGGTTGGTCCAATTTTTCTTTTATATTTTTGTATTTATTAATTTATAAATTTTTTGTGTTAGTGTTATTTTAAATTCATTTAGACTTTGTAAAGAACTTTGCTATCAGTCTTTGTTTTTTAAGTGATTTATAAATAAGAATGGATGGTGATAAACCTAGGAATAATTGTTATTGATCATTTCACCCTTCTAGATACAATAATGCTCTCCACTGCTTCAATGATGGATGAGTTTATACCCTCCAGAGGGCATTTTATGTCTGCTTTGGGAGCCATCACTTTAAAACACTTCTGCTGTAAGAAATTTGGTTTTAAAACATCCATAGATAGTATCAATGAATTATTGTTTGCTTAAAAAAATCACAACTGAATTTGTGTTTTACTTGACCAAATTGGTATCAGAGCTAAAGTAAATGGAAATAAAGTTTAAATAAAGAGGTTTCAGGAAGCGGTAAACAATTAATCTCAAGTGAGATTTAACAATTCTTTGTCCATTTATAGTTTATGAAAATAGTTTTCCCATTAATGCACGATGCTGTGGTTTTATTCACAGGAAATTGGTCAATAACCCAACAAAATCTATTCACTACAGTAAAGCACTGGAAATCCACAGAGCTGTGGTTCCCAGGGATCAGGGCTGGGAAACACGGACATATGTTATGGATTATTTTGCTGAGTCCTCCATCATCAATCTGTCAGTGACTGAAAGTCTGGGATTCTTACCGTTCATATCAGCAGCCTGCTCACAGGAGAAAAATATTCCAGTATGGAACTTCCTCATAATAAACTTTTCCTCTCCTGTCTCAAAGATATATTGCACCTGCCGGCTGTCGTTGAGGTTTGAACTGTTGAAGCGGATGCAGTACCACTGTTTCATTTTCATAGGCGGTCCTGAGCAGAAGGGTTTGGGCACCTTCCTGGTCCCCTCACACCAGTAGCTGGTGGTGACAGCTGACACGGCAAAAGCCAAAGCCACAAAGTTGAGGGTAATTGCCAGGGAAGCTCGCCGCCCGCGCTCTAGCCTCATGTTTGAGGCCAGGGCAAAGGAGCTGAAATGGAAAGGCGACTAATCCTGGCTTGGAATATGTAGCCACTGTTTTTTGCTTCCTAGCAGATATGTCAAATCTTCATAATCTCGTTGCGTTTGAGGCTCCTTGGGTGAGAATTGAGAGCCTCCATCCACCAGCTCTTCGTCTGTTCTGCATTTCTTCACCACACCACAAAAGACCCATTTTTTTTGTCTTTGCTTCACTCAAACCCCCTCCCCCCCACCCCCATTTCATGCTGTATATCAAATTAAACCCATTGCTCCTCCCCATCAGAAAATCTCATCATAAAATGTTATCCATTACAAATGGCAAATTATGGTCCAACCTTCCTGTGAGCATAGTCCAGGCTGAGATTATAATCAAAATAAGGCTCTTGCTGCTTACATATCCCCAGCATTTTCAGAGTGATTGCAGCCAGAGGCAAAAGATCAAGGGCTGGTTTAACTTTGACCAGTGACATAATGTGCGCAGTCTCATATAAAAATCCATCCATAATATGTGTGTCTGTGTGTGAGTGTTTACAGGGGATAAATCCCTTCCAATGGCCAACTGATGGTCATGCAGAAATAAAGAAAATGTACATACTGAGATACTTTATAAAGTGAAGCAGCAAAACAATGCAACATGTGCCTTCTGAAATTTACATGCAGCTTGGATGGTATCAATTCATATTTTGCATAAATGCCTGCTTATAAGTAAGGTAATCTTTACAAAATGACTTACAGCAGGAACACCTGTATCCAACCTCTGAACAAATCCAGTCAATAAATGTTTGGCGTCAAGCAAATAAATAAAAAAAAAACCTATCAAATTCAAATTGTCAAGTGCAACTAAACAACAGTCCTAGCTCAGGTAAGAAGGTCCTAACATTAGGACTGTCAATGGTCAAACGTTTGTGGAAGCTCTAGGAGCGTTGAACCTTTGGGAATCTCCCCCAAACTCTTGACTAGATTTTCCTTTGCATTTCTCTTAAGGTTTAGATGCCCCTACTGCTTTTCTGCCAAAGTATTTCATTACATTGAACTTTCTAATAGAGTGCTTGGATACACTAGTAGTGCAGGGAATAACTAATGTTGTTAGTCAGTCATAGAAAAACTAGGCCAATTATTAACTAATTATTAGAGCATCTTGGTAACTGCATTATGTCACTAAAACTCAATCAGTCAAAGCGACTTTCTATAGGCCCCTTTCTGTGCAGTGAGAAGAAATTTTTGCTGCAGAAACCAACAACAGGGAGCAACATGAGGGGTGTTGGTTGAGGAAGTTTAAAATAGATAGACCTGCTGCAATGTTTGCTGTTGTTCAGGCTGCCATGAAAATAGACTAAGAGGTGAGACGATGGTGCAGAGCCACTGATTCAAAGACAGCGTTCCTAAAGAAAATCACTATCTAAAGACAAATGATAAATGTTCCTGTGATTTACTCATGTTGTGTATTAACGGAAAAAAATTATATCTTATTTAATAAGAATTTGAGCTCTAGTGCTGCGTATTCCAACCAACATTTATTTTATTTTATATCAAGTCAGAATAAATTCAATGATTGAAGTGAGGCTGCCATGCTCTAGCGTCACCAGTCCCTCTGACCACTAATGCAGGTGAAGTGTCTTACCCAAGCGTCTAGTCGAACCTGGCTGGACTTGAACCGACAACCCTCCGGTCCTGTATCTGCTACAGTACCCCTATCATCTCAACACTGGCTACCCACGTACTAGTCTTTATTTTCTGTGTCAATGACTTTTGTTTCTGAAAGAGTTTTAAATCTTTTTGATTCTGTTGCAAAGTGTATTTTGTTTTGTTACAATTCCTGAAAAGCATAATTTCTCAGATTCACACTGGTTTTATGTCCAGTTGAAGCTTCAGATTCTAAAACATTTAACTTGCTTTTTCTTTATTTATAAACAAAAATCATAAAAACATCTACATACTGTAAATGTATTCGAGTTCAGATGTACAACCAACCACACACCAAAAATGGTGATGATCTAATTCGTTTCCTAATATCAAATTTACTATATATATTTTAAAATTGGATCTGATGTATTTACAGTTTTAATAACAGAACAGTTATTCAAATTATTTGAAATGTAGATCACAAAAAGTAACTGCGTAGACACTTTGACTAGTAGTTAGTTCTTTAATTGAGCAGTGGCTAAGTTACTAACTTAGTTACTGCATATAAAGGTATTCTAAAACCTCCTTCTCACTGGACCCCTTTTTCATCATTTTGCTTCATTCTATCTCTATTCTCCCACTCTGCAGAATCTGTTAGTTCAATCTCTAACGTTCTGCTCTCTCTGCTTTTTCTCATAGTAGCTTCGCATCATCTCTTCCTGTTTGGCTGTGACTCCATCCTGGAGAGAAATATCAGCTGTGCTTCTGCCATCGACACCTTTGTTTATAGATTTTTGAGATCGGCCTGTTTTTCAGTGTAGTCCTGTTTCTCTGACTGTGACTAACTGGATGTGCTCTCTTCATCCTCTGACATGGGAGCTGGCTCGGAGCTCGTCGGCCTGGCTTTGGGGCCGCCTTTTACAGTTGCCTTTTGTATCTTTGCTTCTGTCTCCTTGAACCCCAGTCGGCCTCGGCAGATTGCCGCTCACACTGATCCTGGTTCTGCTGGAGGTTTTCTTCCTGTTAAAAGGATGTTTTTCCTCCCCACTGTTGCAACAAGTATGCTGTGTGAGTTGGTGCAATCAACTGGTTTTCCTTAAGTAGAAAATTTTAATCAATTTGACTGGATAATCCGTTGAACTGTACAGTGCCTTGAGATGACATGTGTTGTGAATTATAAATAAACTGAATTGAACTGAATTGAAAATAGCCGGATAACCCTGTTTTTTCAAACTGGGTTGACACGCTAACAATCAGCATTTGGCTCCCTTCCTAATGGCATAAAAAGCTAGATCTAACCCCGACTGCAAGCTGCATTCCCTGGTGACATTATCAATCTAAGTTGGTGTGGATTATGCCACCAGTGCGTCAGAAATCAGGAAAGTAAACAATGGAGAGCAACATGGAAGGAAGCCAGGGAGTAGTCACTGTGCTTTATTGTTTCGCTCTTTTATCTCTCTGAATCCCTCTTATCAGCGCTGCGACATGTTTATCGAATGTAAACAAAGCAGAATATCACCACAGCATGCAGATCAAAGCCGAGGGGATTGTAATGCGGTTCACTTGCTGACTCGTTTGACCCGGGTGAACACACGTCAGTGAGCTGTTCCTGATGTCACAATATGCTACTTCTTCCCAGATTTAAACTGTTTTTGCGGCTTGGGGGAAAGTTGGTGTTATTAAGTAACTTTTTTGTATAAGCAAGTAGTGACTATAACTAGTTACTTTTTAAAGTAAACTTCCCAAATGTGGTTAGTAGTGTTCACTGTGATTGTGTAGACCGTAACAATATATCTTTACTATTTTTTTGTTTTTGTTGATTCAGTGTAACATTTTCAAAGTATTTGTGTTGCTGTAAGACTTTATTATTAAAAGCTAAATAAATATTTAATATATCAATGCACAAGCCTCATATTTCAAAAGTAACATTAAATAATTAATTGTTTACATGAGATCCTTATGAATTGTAATTGCTTTGTGGTTTATTGTTTGATTTTTGTTAGAATGTGCATGTGATCCCCTTTTGTCATCCATTCTGGCAAAAACAAATTACAACCCCTAGACCATAAGAATCTTAAAACACCAACCCAAAAGACTGAACACCCTGTTCCATTGGTAATTCTACAACTAGGTTGTAAAACTATATTATCCATAAGGTTGCATACATTTGTATATCATATGTACACCATATCCAGCTCTTTATTTTAGCTCAAACTACTCAGTGATTAAAATCTCCTAAATTAAAATGGAACCCCAATCACAGGCTTCAAAAACAAAAAAAACCCCCAAAAAACCAAATGCAAAATGAGAGTTTATACTCTGATGTGGTTCTACACTTGCCAATTTTATTTGAGCAGTTCTCCTGAAAAAGAGAGATTATTCAGAAACTCCACAATCATGTCATGAAGAATATAAACACAGAATGAGTAAGTCCTTCATTACTTTTTACAGATCATCATCTGTTGCATGATACCTGGCAGATGGAAGGACTGAACAAAATATTATACCTTTTGGAAAAAGGATGCAATTTTAAAAAGCTTTCCACAATGAAATGAAATGATTATGTAAAAATTTGCAGTGATATTTAAAGATTAAAGAATGATTTGGGATTTTCCTGTTATGACTTTGTAGAAGCAGATTAGGCAGGTCTGCTGCATTCATGTTCTCTGTAAATCTGGCAAATAACAGCAAAAATAAACTTTTAGCTCTTAATTACATAATAAGTTTTGAAAAGCGAACTATTTAGTTCTTTGTAGGTGAATGAACATTTAATCCCACAAGTATTTCTTCAATTGGAAGAATGGATAGAAAAGGATCATAAATAAGTGGTTTGCTTTACATAGAAAGTTGAGCTGAACAATTTTTCCCAAAATCCAACCTGGGGTTATTTTCAACCAATACTGTAACTTTATTGTGATTTTGCAATAAGCACAAAAATGTAGATTTTTTTACTCCAGGGCTTCAGCTTTTATTCCGTGACCCTGAAAGATTGCTTCTCCAGATCGAATATTGCAGTACTTTTCTGTAACCTTTGCATGAAAAAGCTCTTACTTCTATAATGCCTGAATCTGCGTGCAAGTGGCAACTCTCTTCCCTTCTGTGTGGCGGAAAAACTACTTTAAGTGTCTTACCGCCACCTAAAGGGCTGCAGTGAAATTTTGTATCTTAGAACTCTTGTTAAATGTAATGTGACTAAAATAAAGTGCTTCTGCAAATTGCATTTCTCTAAAATGTGATTACTGTATATTGTAAATGCAATTAATTACCCAGCACTAATAGTAGAGCAAACTCAAAAGTTTTTCACATACTTTTAAAAGCTGTTTGGCAACTGGCATATTGATAATTTTCAGTTCCAAGTCTAACTAAGAGGATCTCTCTATTATCGCCTTAATCCAGGGGTGGCCTACTCCACTCCTCAAGAACCAGTTTCCTGCAGCTGTCAGATCGGTCCTTCCTCCAACACAACTGAATGAACAGCA